TGCACAAGTGACATTCCACCCACGGGTAGATTATTATGCAGACACGTCTGAGGATTGATTAGATATACAATATGAAATTATACACTGCCTGGTTCACGAGATCTACTTTTCTGCTTTCCTATGTATTCAAAACAAGTGACCTACCAAACTGTTCGCCTTCTCATGGCCAATCTGACGATATGTCCGGTTTTTATGTAAGTCTCTCATATTCCAAGATATGAGACATAGGGGAAAAATGGATTTTAACAAAAGTTATCTGGTCATGTTTCCTTGGAATGTTCTTTGTACTCCAGGGAAATCTTGCCTTATCTTATACGAAGTGTTAAATTGCACAGATTCTTTGGACAGCTAGGCCCCGACTCCCTTGGGGGTCCTAAAGCTCCTAGCCCCCCTGCTGGGCTCTGGCCTGTGACACTTTTAACACACACACACACACTGCCATATGTCACTGTGCCTCTCAGAGAGGGAGGGGGGAAGAGTGACGGAATAACATGGATACTCTTAACAAAATGGAGGCTGCGTCCTGCCTCTGGTGCGCACGTTCGCGACACCTCCCATCTTTTTTAAGCAATTACAACAGGCTCAAAGGGTCTTTGTGTGGGCCAATAAAAAAAATACGGATTCGATTTCAACTAATCACGTGCACTAAAGGTTCCGGGGGTATGGGGTTGCCAGACTTCAAAAAGTACTATTACGCTACTCACATTACCAGAATCATAGACTGGAATTGTCATTCTACACTTAAACACTGGGTTTCCCTTGAAAGCTCCTACTCTTCAGCTCCTTTAAGATTCTCACCATGGCTGTCAAGGTCTACCCACTCAAAGCGTTTGTTGGCTCATCCCCTAATTGGTGCGACTTTAGATGCATATCATGATCTTGCAGAGGTTGAGGGTTTTGTGTGCGCTCCAGGTCCCCTCACCCCCATTGCTGACAACCGTGAGTTTCCCCCTGGGTTGGAGCGTGGAGTGATTTTGGTGCACGGGTCGGGCTTCAGGAGATTTGTGGTCAGACTTCTCTTCCATACTGGACTTATTTTCAAATACACAATTACTTGACGAACCACAGACGGAAGGCAGCCTTTTCCAGACCTCTTACGACCCTAGAAACGCTATGTCTGAAAGGGAAACCCATTGACAAACCCACCTCTTTGGCCTATTCTTGGCTTCAAAACAATCCCTCTGCCACCCCCGACAATTTTCAGCTAGGTTGGGAATCAGCCTTTCAGGCAGAGTTCTCCGATGACCATTGGAGAAAAGCTTGCATCTTTGTGGACAAATGCTCCATTAGCACCAGGACTCAAGAAACCTCCTACAAATTGTTAACGCTTTGGTACGCTACGCCAGACAGGTTAAAGAGGTGGTTCCCCCAGACATCAGGCTTATGCTGGCGCTGAGCCAGCTGAGGGATCCTTGGTTCATATTTGGTGGCAATGCCCACGGCTCAAGCCATTTTGGGATGATGTTCAAGAGCTGATCTACTCTATTATGGGGACTGCATTGCCATTAACCCCTGAATGTTGCATCCTTCATATTTCTGAGTGTTCCCTGAAATCGTAAAAGAAATCCTTGGTGCGGCACCTTTTGAATGCGGCCAAGTCCTTAATTCCCAGGCACTGGAAGACCACTCATACCCACTCGATCCAAGACTAGATTAGAGAGGTTAATGTCATTCAGGAATTAGAAAGCACACTGGCTATGACTGATGACATGGTATCCAGATTCCACAAGTTGTGGTCCTGTTGGTATGCTTTCACTTTCGGAAAAGTATAAGGGGCTGATGGTCGAATAGCTCTTTTAGAAGTGTGGGCCATGCCGGTAAATTCTTGACACCTCACGCAGAGATGGTTCTGCTCTTACTATTGTTATTCTGATGCTTTCTGTACTAGCTTTTCATTTTCTTCTGCTCATACACTTCTTTATATCTACCTTGACATTTGTACCTGAAATTGTAAATGTTTTAATACAGGAGCGTTTCCTGCAGAATAATGTTGTGATCATACTACTGAGTTTGCTCCGAAACTAATTTGTACAATTGTGTACTGCATGATACGATATTATGTCATGCCTTCTTGCAGTTCATTTCTGTTCATATGTTCTGCTTTTTGTCTGAATAAAAGCCAGTTGTTTAAAAAAATATATTTTATATACTACACCATGGGAGTGCCTTTTTCTGTGTGAGTTTTACCGCAGACCGGAGACCGCATATTTAAAGGGCCAGATACACAAATAATAGAAGGATCCATTTAAGTGGCAGAGGACCAATCATCAGTGGGGAAAGAAACCTTACAGCAGGGAGACACCGCTCCTAGGATCCTAATTAAGAGGAAACAAAGTATTATCACCTGTAAGAGGGCAGGCCGCAGAGTGGAGGTGAGTGCGGATTTGAATGGTGGAGGATAACACATGCATGCATGCATGCATGCATGCTATTGAGGGAGCACATGGATATTGCAAAGAATTTATTGTACATTTTTCATAAATGATATATTGCACTTTTATTATAAGCACTTTTATTCACTTATTTAATATTTGTGAATGTTGGCACTTTTTGGGGAGAGTTGTTGATATATGTATTTTATGTGCTTGCACCTTATTATTTTTGTTTGATCAGTATGAATAGTTTGAAGTTCAGTTTGGATATGTTGGTATAAGATCATGTTGTAAGGAGGCGCAGCAATGCACATACTATAAAAATTGTATCTAAGGATACAGTTTTTACTGCTCCTCAACCGCTCCTCCTGTAGTTAGAAAGACAGCAGTTGGGGGTGTACACAAGCCGTGGCTGTGATGCTTTGCTTCACGGCCAAGGCAGGAATAATTATATCTGCTATCATGTTTGGTGGACACTGCCACTAGTCGAAAGCAATCCATTCAAATGAATGGTGCTGCTATGCAACCACCCCACAACCATGTGCAATGCACATGGTTGCAGGGCAGTATTTAGGACGGTAAACAAATCTAATGACAACCCTGAACCTATGGGAAGCAAATGGATTAGAACACTTGTCAATTTTTTTTGCTGTCTGTGCCCCATTAACGAGATTCACCCTTTTTATTTGGCCTGGTTACCATTATTATTGAAAGTAAAAGAATCCCAAATTTTGGGATATCCCCAGAAAAGTAATAGAGGGTAAATTTTCCAATGGAGACACTAGTTCTGGTGACCTGGGGGTCCCCAAGGGATTCCCTTAATTTGCAGGGATTTCCTCTCACTTCCCTGGGACGCAGATAGTGAAAAAAAATAATCTGACAGGGGTTATAACCCTACCTACCTACCTTACGTTATCCAAAATTACAAAAACATTTTTGCCCCTAGTTCTTCTTTAATTGCAAACAACTTCTGGACACCTATCTATAATCCAGACTTGGAAAATAGTAAATCAATAAAAACCAAAAAATATTAAAAAAAAAAAATCTCTTTCATCTTAAAACATTTCCACCTCTCATGATTTGTGCTGATAAATACATCTCCTTTAAACACTAAAAATACACTATAATATCAAAAGTATTAGGACACCCATCCAAATCATTGAATTCAGGTATTCCAATCACCTCCATGGCCACAGGTGTATAAAATCAAGCACCTAGGCATGCAGACTACTTCTACAAACATTTGTGAAAGAATGGGTCGCTCTCAGGAGCTCAGTGAATTCATGCTTGGTACCGTGATAGGTTGCCACCTGTGCAATAAATCCATCCTTGAAATTTCCTTGCTACTAAATATTCCACAGTCAGCTGTTAGCGGTAATATACCAAAGTGGAAGAAACTGAGAACAACAGCAACTCAGCCACTAAGTGGTAGGCCATGTAAAATGACAGAGCGCGGTCAGCGCATGCTGAAGCACATGCGCAGAAGCTGCCAACTGTCTGCACAATAGCTAAAGACCTCCAAACTTCGTGTGGCCTTCAGATTAGCACAACAACAGTGCGTGGAGAGCTTCATGGAATGGGTTTCCATAGCTAAGCAGCTGCATCCAAGCTTTTACATCACCAAGTGCAATGCAAAGCGTCGGATGCAGTGGCGTAAAGCGCGCTGTCACTGACTCTACAGCAGTGGAAACGTGCTCTCTGGCAATCTGATGGACGTGTCTGGATTTGATGTTTGCCAGGAGAACGGTACTTGACTGACTGCATTGTGCAAAGTTTGGAGGAGGGGGGGATTATGATGTGGGGGTGTTTTTCAGGGGTTGGCCTTGGCCAGTGAAGGGAACTCCTAAGGCATCAGCATACTAAGACATTTTGGACAATTTCATGCTTCCAACATTGTGGGAACAGTCTGGGGATGGCCCCTTCCTGTTCCAACATGACTGCGCACCAGTTCACAAAGCAAGGTCCCTAAAGACATGGATGAGTGAGTTTGGGGTGGAGGAATTTGACTGGTCTGCACAGAGTCCTGACCTCAACCCAATAGAACAATTTTGGGATGAATTAGAGCAGAGACTGTGAGCCAGGCCTGCTCGTCCCACATCAGTGCCTGACCTCACAAATGCGCTTTTGGATGAATGGTCAAACATTTCCATAGACACACTCCTAAACCTTGTGGATAGCCTTCCCAGAAAAGTTGAAGCTGTTATAGCTGCAAAGGGTGGGCCAACTCAATATTGAACCCTACGGACTAAGAATGGGATGCCATAAAAGTTCACGTTCGTGTAAAAGCAGGCGTCCAAATACAATTTTAGCAATATAGTGTACTTTGCATTATGTGCTCATATATATATTTATCTAGTATCTCACAGAAGTGAGTACACCCCTCAATTTTTTATAAATATTTTATTATATCTTTTCATGTGACACACTGAAGAAATTACAATTTTCTACAATGTAAAGTAGTGAGTGTACAGCTTGTATAACAGTGTAAATTTGCTGTCCCCTCAAAATAACTCAACACACAGCCATTAATGTCTAAACCACTGGCAACAAAAGTGAGTACACCCCTAAGTGTAAATGTACAAATTGGGTCCAATTAGCCATTTTCCCTCCCTGGTGTCATGTGACTCGTTAGTGTTACAAGGTCTCAGGTGTGAATGGGGAGCAGGTGTGGTAAATTTGGTATTATCGCTCTCACTCTCTCATACTGGTCACTGGAAGTTCAACATGGCACCTCATGGCAAAGAACTCTGTGAGGATCTGAAAAAAAGAATTGTTGCTTTAAATAAAGATGGCCTATGCTATAAGAAGATTGCCAAGACCCTGAAACTGAGCTGCAGCATGGTGGCCAAGACCATATAGCGGTTTAACAGGATAGGTTCCACTCAGAACAGGCCTCGCCATGGTCGACCAAAGAAGTTGAGTGCACGTGCTCAGCGTCATATCCAGAGGTTGTATTTGGGAAATAGACCTATTAGTGCTTCCAGCATTGCTGCAGAGGCTGAAGGGGTGGGGGGTCAGCCTGTCTGACCATAGGCCACACACTGCATCAAATTGGTCTGGATGGCTGTCGTCCCAGAAAGAAGCTTCTTCTAAAGATGATGCACAAGAAAGCCCAAAAACAGTTTGCTGAAGATAAGCAGACTAAGAACATGGATTACTGGAACCATGTTCTGTGGTCTGATGAGACAAAGATAAACTTATTTGGTTCAGATGGTGTCAAGTGTGTGTGGGGACAACCAGACGAGGAGTACAAAGACAACTGTGTCTTGCCTCAGTCAAGCTTGGTGGTGGGAGTGTCATGGTCTGGGGCTGCATGAGTGCTGCCGGCACACTGGGGAGCTACAGTTCATTGAGGGAACCATGAATGCCAACATGTACTGTGACATACTGAAGCAGAGCATGATCCCCTCCCGTCTGAGACTGGGCCGCAGTGCAGTATTCTAACATGATAACGACTCCAAACACCCCCCAAGACGACCACTGCCTTGCTAAAGAAGCTGAGGGTAAAGGTGATGGACTGCCAAGCATGTCTCCAGACCTAAATCCTACTGAGCATCTGTGGGGCATCCTCAAATGGAAGGTGGAGGAGCGCTCTGGTAAACACCATGCCCAAGAGGGTTAAGGCAGTACTGGAAAATAATGGTGACCACACAAAATATTGACACTTTGGGCCCAATTTGGATATTTTCACTTAGGGGTACACTCACTTTTGTTGCCAGTGTGTTGAGTTATTTTGAGGGGACAGCAAATGTACACTGTTATACATTGTAGCAAAGTGTAATTTCTTCAGTGTTGTCGCATGAAAAGATATAAAAATATTTACAAAAATTTGAGGGGTTTACTCACTTCTGTGGGATAGTGTGTATGTGTGTGTGTGTATGTATGTTTGTGTGTGTATGTGTGTATATATATATATATATATATATATATATATATATAGCTTTTTTACTGTAATAAAATATATGCACACAATTCAATAAAGTATCCACTCCTTGTTCACAGTCCATATACGATGAACAGTCAAATATTCTGTGCCAATTTCAGGTGACTCTTAATTCACAATTCACACTCAATTGTGACTTAAAGAAATTCAGTGCCCGTGATTTCAAGTGCCAGTCCACACCAGGGTTGCCAACAGTCCGTACATTTCAACCCATTTACAGGCTGTCCGTAAATATCCGTTACGGACAGCGGCCGCCGGTACAAAAATATATGGCTGCAGGCATGTACAGTTCCAAAGCAGACCAGGCTTGGGCAAGCTCGTATATGCTCGGCCATTTTCAGCAGGGGGGGCGGGCGCATGCACAGTGAGTCAGGGATGTCATTGCACCAAGCGCCATTTTTGCATGGTCGGCACTTGGCAACACATCAGTAGGAATGCTTCCCACGCCGAAGGCCGAACCCCGGCCCGCACCATGGCTGGAGCCTGTGGGGACTCCCATAAGGGGGTAGTGAATACAGTTATGTAGGGGGGGCACTGATATAAAGTTTCTTCTTATATCAGTAACCCCCCCTTATCTCAGTGGATGCACTTTGCAGAAGGTGGTCTATGGTCACCAGAGTCCCCTCCACATCAGAGTTCTCAATGTTCCCTTTTACATCAGAGTCTGCAGGATTCCCCCTTACAGTGCAAGCGGGAACTCTGTGGACCCTAATGTAAGTGGAAACTCTGATGTAAAAAGGAATGTAGTGGGCTGTGATATAAGGTGGGCTCTGCAGCATTCCCCCTTACATCATGATCTGCAGCATTTCCCTTTACATTAGATTTCCCCTTGCACTGTAAGGGGGAATTCTTCAGACTATGATGTAAGGAGGAACTCTGTGCTGGCTGGGTTATGTTAACCTGACCTTCATGTAAATGGATAAATATGTTTTTTTACTTTTGTTATAATGTAAACACATTGCTAATAGCACTAGCTACATGTTTGTAGCTTACATCTTGATGTTTTGCACTTAAAATGATACTAAAGTCTTGTGTTTTTGTTTTTTTAAATAATAAACATGTCATACATACCTGCTCTGTGAGGCGGTTTTGCACAGAGTAGCCTGGATCCTCCTCTTCTTGGGTCCCTCGCTGGTGCTCCTGACCCCTCCCTCCTGTTTAGATGCTCCCATAGCAAGCAGCTTACTATGGAGGCATCCGAGCAAGCGCGCTTCTGAGCTATTCACACACAGAGCCGCAGCTCAGCCCCGATCCTCCACCTCCTGATTGGCCCACTGGCTGTGATTGACAGCAGCAGGAGCCAATTGCTCACGCTACTGCCTCAGCCAATCCGGAGTGAAAGTCTCTGGAGAACTGGGGCTCTGATGGACATGGGGCTCGGGTAAGTGTTAGGGGGGGCTGGGGGGGTTGCTACACACAGAAGGTTTTTTACCTCCATGCATAGAATCCATAAAGGTAAAAAACCTTGATCCTTTACAACCACTTTAAAACAGCCATTTTATGAACTTTTTTGAAGTGTCAGTAAAAAATGGCAGTAAATTTCATGATTTTTGTCAGTAAAAAAAATTGGTGCTGTTTGTAAATGTTGGCGTCCTGTCAGTAAATTTCACTTTGGGGGGTTGACAGCACTGAACCCCCTTATAATATAAGAAGGTCTCTCACACACATATATATAGCAGCTCCTCTGGGTTTCCTCCTTTCCCCTCTATTCGCTGGTTTCATTAGTTACAGCCAGCCTCCAGTACTCTCCATGCCAGCAAAATGTAAATAGGGGAAAATCCAAATATAGTGTAATACTGTTTATAATATATATTTAAAACAACAATAATCCTGATTGCACACTTATGTTTAGTTGCAATAGAGTATAAGCCTTGTGTACACAATGAGTGCCTCTAGCCCCATCCAAGATGGCTCCAGACATCACGGACGTAGCCCTGCCCAACGCGTTTTGTCTTCTGGACGTCTTCAGGGATCGGTGCCATCCTGTGTAACTTCGCTGTATTTATGCTTTTCTAACTATCATGCACCTCTAGCTAATGACAGAACTACATAACAGAACTATATACTAACATTCCCTTCATCACCATCTTGTGGATGTTAATGTCACTTCATTTAATATTCATTCTGCTGCTATGCCTACTACTGGCCATTCTAACTACACCTTGAGGTAGATTAAAATATTACACACCATTTAAATCATGCTAATATTACTGATACATTAAATAAATACATACTTTTAAAAAATGTTTTACTAAACCCATAGTAAAATCAGTCTGTATGTGCAGTAAATCATGCTTGTTATACTCACTGTGGAACTGGTTAATCCTCACCATTATGTAAAAAGACTGATCCTGTCTTCTCTGATCCTCCCCTTCTTCTACTGTTCCCAGAGCTGGTTCTACCACTAGGCAAACTAGGCAGCCACCTAGGGCGCAACTCATGGACAACTCTGACAGTTAAAATGGAAATGGTTGTGCTGACAAGGTGAATCAAAACAGAGAAAACACTGACAGAAAGATCCCTCCCCGGCATCCACGAAGTCAGGTGCCACATGCCTTTTTGCTGATTGGTCAGTGCTGAGTGAGGGGGGGTGTGGCTACCCAAGGGACGTCAGCCTGCCTTGAGTCGATGAGTTGCGGGGGCATGTGGAGAGGTAGGAACCGACCCAGCCAGAGCCAGCAGTCTCAGGTATGTAATTTGTTAACCTGACACAGTCATCTACCATGTCATCTCCATCCTGCTCACAGAGATCTACCATGTCATCTCCATCCTGTGCACAATCATCTACCTTGTCATCTCCATTCTGCTTGCAGTCATCTCCATGTCATCTCCATTCTGCACACAGTCATCTACCATGTCATCTCCATTCTGCACACAGTCATCTTCCATGTCATCTCCATCCTGTGCATAATCATCTACCTTGTTGTCGCAAAAGTGCGCAACAGAGACTGACGCAGTCCACCATTTTGTTAAGAATCTCCATTTTCTCCTCTCACTCTCCTTCCCCCCCTCCCTCTGAGTGTCACAGTGACAGTGTATGTGTGTGTTAAAAAATGTCACAGGAGGGTCATAGGAGCTATAAAGGCCCCCCCCAGGGAGCCGTGGCCTAGCTGTCTGAGAACCTGTGTCATTTCACACCTCGGAAGAGATAAGGCAAGCTTTCTCAGGAGTTGAGAGAGATTCCAACCTAATAAAACCTACTCAGCATAGGTGACAGAATCAGATAACACATCTCAAAATCCGTGTTTCCCCTATGTCTCATATCTTGGAATATGAGAGACTTACATAAAAACCGGACATATCGGCAGATGGACGATGAGCAGGTGAACAGTTTGATGGGTCACTCGCCTTGTCTCGGACACACGGGAAAGCAGGAAAATAGATCTCGCGAACCGTTCAGTGTACACTTTCATAATTCATATCTAATCAATCCTGAGACTTGTCCGCATAATAATCTACCCGCGGGTGGAATGTCACTTGTGCAAATGGAAAGTTATAGGCCAAAATATGAGCTATGGAAGATTTTTGCTCTAGTGAGGCATCCACCCATATCTCCACGCCCTAAGTGGAGATTGGTCCTTGACTTCAGAGCCACCCCCTGCTGGGGACTACAAAAAACAGGCTGTCAGGCCTAAGAGTGTGCGGTTGAATAATTCTCCCATTGACCATCGTAACATAGGGAGATCAAAGCACCCTTCTGCTCTGAAACTTGGATCTGCTAACCCAGGACTTTAGCAAGTACTTTAACACTTTCACCTCTCTCTGATATCTCTTTGCTGTGCTGTGGTTCTTTGTATATTTATATATATATCTTAGGTACATCTTTTTCTGTAAATATTTTTATTGCACCCGTTTGACCTTTTAGTAATAAATCTTTCCTTCTGAAAGTGTTGAACTGTTTCTATAGCGCTTTATTGCAATTTACGAATTCTTGCCTCTAAAGAGAACGCTACTGTGTTTGTTTAGACCTCTTTATAAAAGGCCTGTGGACCGTTTTATACAGACTATTATCTCAATCATTATAGTGTTATAGCTGATAATGCCGAGTTTCCTCTTTCTCTGTACAAAATGGAGGTGGTGGCAGTGTGAAGGGTTAATTGCGTAATTAACCTGACCCGGTATCAATCGCCCAGGCTGCCCGCACATCAATTGTGGTCCATTAGCTGGTGTGCAGGGGGCAGCTGGGTGTGGCATTGTTACGCACGTCACATCGCGGTTCTAGATCAGCTAGTCCTTCGGTCACGAGTTTGGTGAGAAGGTCTGGGGTCTGACGCCACGATCCTGACATATTGGTGGCAGCGATCATGGGATCATCACATATTGGACGTCGCGATCGTGGGATCGTCGCATGTTGGTGGCAGCAATCTTGCGATCTTGTCATCTCCATTCTGCACACAGTCATCTCCATCCTGCACTATGTAAGTCATCTCAGACTCTAACCACACCCAATCTTTAGCAGAATTTAAACCACTCCCACTCTTCACTGCAGCGTGTTTTGTTTTTTGGCACATTTTTTTGATTATTATACAGGATTTATATAGCACCAACAGTTTGCGCATTGCTTTACAAAATGAAGGTAGACATTACAGTTACAATACAATTTGATACAGGAGGAAACTGAGGGCCCTGTTCGTTAGAACTTACAATCTACGAGGAAATTTTTCTTGCTTCTTGTAGAAAATCACATCCTCCCAGCTCCCCAGTCAGTTATATTTTTTTTGCCCTTTTCACCAACTCGTAACAAAGAACCGGCCAATCTTGCACCGCGCTTTCACATACATAACAAAACCACTCTCAGCTGCACCCTGCACAAAGATTTTCCAGCTGTCGGGACCACAATTTAGGTGCCAGCAGCCTGAGAGTGATTGTCACTGGGTTAAGTTAATTAAGCAATTAACCCTTTAAACTCCAAACTGCCACCAAATAGCTTTGGGCCTATCAACCCGTCACAATATCAGCAATAACAAATATGAAAAATAAATGTCTGTCACCACAGACAGGTATATTCAGAGATTTATCATGTACAGTAGCACTCTGCAAGAGATAGGGATTATTTATTCTGCATTATAAGCCTTAGGGACAGTTTTAACACTTTTTCAAAATAGGGTTTAATAAGGAAACGGTCAAAATGGTGCAAATAAAATACTGACAGAAAAAGGGTTGTCACGGTCCCCCTTCCCCTGCACCCCCCCTTCCCCTTTGAATGCCCCTGTGCCCGCACGTAGCCCACATAAAGTGGTGTGCTGGGCACTAGGGAGCTGCTTCCTGCTGGGAGTCCCCATACCTCAACGTGGCCATGCGCCGAGGAGTCTGCCGCCCCACTGTGCCTGTATGGATTTCCCACATGCAGGTCACCTGGATTTCGCCGTGCGCCCCCTCCCCTTGTCTCGGTGGACACAGCATGGCCCCATTGTTCCCATGTTCTGCACCCACCAGAAATAAAGGCCGCACTCCTTGTGCGCGGGTGGAGTGAGGGGGCAGAGCTTGTTGCCACGGCAACCAGATGCCAGGATGGCCGTTGCCTGGCAACCTTGGTAGCGTCCCGCCTCGGAGATAAAAGACCGCATGAGGACCCGGGCAGGGGTATCTTCACCTGCTCGCAACCCAGGGTGCTGTGAGAGGTGCTGTGAGAGGTTCTGTGCTGCGGCCAAACCATACAGCCAAGCTGGACCTAATCCAGAGCCTGCCTTCTGCTGTGTGCCCCTGGACTTAACCATTGCCTGCCAGAGTCTGCCTTCTGCTATGTGCCCCTGGACTTAACCATTGCCTGCCAGAGCCTGCCTTCCGCTGTGTGCCCCGGACTTAACCATTGCCTGCCAGAGACTGCCTTCTGCTGTGTGCCCCTGGACTTAACCATTGCCTGCTTTCCACTGTGTGCCCCGGACTTAGCCATTGCCTGCCAGAGCCTGCCTTCTGCTGTGTACCCCAGGCTTAACCATTGCCTGCCAGAGCCTGCCTTTTGCTGTGTGCCCCTGAACTTAACCATTGCCTGCCTTCTGCTGTGTGCCCCTGGATTTGACCATTGCCCGCCAGAGCTTGCCTTCCGCTGTGTGCCCTGGACTTAACCATTGCTTGCCAGAGCCCGCCTTCTGCTGTGTGCCCCGGACTTAACCATTGCCTGCCAGACCCTGCCTTATGCTGTGTGCCCCGGCCTTAACCATTGCCTGCCAGAGCCTGCCTTCTGCTATGTGCCCTGGCCTTAACCATTGCCTGCCAGAGCCTGCCTTCTGCTGTGTGCCCCTGGACTTAATCATTGCCTTCCAGAGCCTGCCTTCTGCTGTGTGCCCCGGACCCATTGCCTTCCAGTCTGCCGCCCTGTTGTGTGTTCCTTGTCATGTGTCCTACCCTGTGGTACGGACTTAACTTTTTGTTTTGCCAAAACCTTGCTATACTTATTGTGCGCCCTTCAATAAAAGCCTTGTGTGCCCTACTGCTCTCCGTGTGTGTTCTGTCCCACCTACACCTCCGTCACAAGGGTGTTAGAAGGAAACAAAGAGACAATAAAGCAACAGAGAAATAAAAAGGAGTTCAAAATAAAAAATACTTGTATTTAGTTTTAAAGTTTTTGCAGAGTTCAGTCAATAAGCATGGTGTCATCGGTGTCATAAGTATACATATTTCTGAATACCTACCGTTTACAGTCTGCTACCATGCAGAGTATTGTCCAGCATGAAATTAGCTTCAAAATGGATATGGATATGACAGGTCTGGGATATAAATTTCTCATAGGCCTAATCTACTTTGGTGCCTCTTAGCATAGGGGTGTTAGGTTCAAAATGCTACCCAATAATTGAGGGAGGTAAATATGACTATATTCTGGCTCTGCTTTTTTCATGAGTTATGACACATGCTGAAGTTTTAGAGTCTAAGCTGATAATCAGTCTAACAGAAATGTGTATTCCACAGACTTCCAACTATGGCTGGCCATACATTATACAATTTTCTTGAGATTTTTGGCTTAGATTTACAAAAAACCATATGATAGGAGGTCAAAACTAACAACATTTGCAATTGTATCCAATTAGGCAGGCTCTTGCACTACACAGTTGTCGGTAAATCTAAAGGAAATTGGGCAGAAATTGGACAGAAAATTGTATAGTGTATAGCCAGCCTAAGGTACTGTATTTATGACTCAATGTCTGTTAGTTCTCCGGATTGCTCAAGCTTGTGAGGGTGACAGTTTTATTAGGGTTTCCAGACTGAAATTGTGGGTTGGGTAATGGAGAGGTCTGTGTTTCTGATCAATGGATTGATAAGAAAGTGCTGGCATCAGGTAACAGTTTATGTGCCAGATGGCTTCCTGAAGGGATATAAAAGGAGACCACTGCTGCCAATAGGCCTCCTTATGTTTCAAGCTGTCATGGGTGAACTCCAAACAAGATGGCTACCACACACCCAGCTATTGATGTGCTTAGTACATGCAACCATTACAGGGGGTATGCAAATAACTGGTCTTGCCTGGCATGCAAAATAGTCTAGCACCAGCCCTGACTGTCCCCAATCCATCTGCTGCTAGTACAGAGCTCTAGGAGGCACTCTGCACATTCTCAGTTTAGTGTGTATTGCTAGAGTTTTTTTTCCTTTGGCCCTGTGCTGATCACATGCACCCTCCCAATCAGCACTGTCCAGAGGGTCAGAGGTTATGCAGCCTCATAGGACAGTCCGAGCAGAATGAAAACTCCTACAAGCTTTAACCAGTGCTCAGCTTGACACTGATAGAAGTCACAAGACTGCTATATAGTGCTGATGAGAAAAGGTATTTAGTAATTTATATTTACTAAAATAATTGCATTTCCATGTTTTGTGTGCTGTGGAAGACTGGATATAGTAAATGCAGGGTTATGGGTTTAGTAACACTTTAAGGGTGGGATAGTGCATAGTGCTGCGCTATATAAAATTTTCTCTTATTTTTTTTACTATAAAAACTTGTACACTTTTGTGCTTTCACACAGCCATGTGTTTTCTTTATTATACTGTAAGTGCACTTTGTATTTGCTATAACAATTTACAGTACAGTCCTGTAAGGCTGTCATAGGACTAGCGTCTGAGTCAGCGGTGCACATCTGCTAGCATGATATTTTGTCAATATAAATGAAACCTGCCCCCACATCAGGCCAAAACTGATGCTAAACACTGCAAGAAGAGAAGGCCACTTTGTGAGTAAAATAAGGTGATAAACACAGATTGGAAAAATACAATTTTATGCGATATAAAACATACATAAAAATGCAAAGGTCTGAACAAGGCCCTACCCCTGAATCACATATATATGTGAATTGGATGCATTTTGAACCGCATCCGATTCAACCAGAATTGAACAGAAAAGGTTAGGTGACCATCAGGTGGTTAGAGGTCATAACCAAGGAAATGTCATAGTGTCACTTAACGATTGAAGGATCAATTGTATCAAGAAATTACTTATAGACTGTTTAGGCACGTAAACTCAGTACACAAAAGTAAAAGCAATTATTACTTTATTGACATACCATACCTAAAAATATTTTTGTGTATTTAAAATTGTTAGTATACATTGCACATTAAATTACAGCATTTTCCGTTGGGAGTATTGTAGAGATGGTAAACACAATCCACTTCCTTTAAAGTGAGGGGAATATCCAAGCTGTTAAGATGAAGCCCAACATGTTTCGCGTCAGAAGTCACTTCCTTAGGGGCTAGCAACGCATCTAAAAAAATGAATAAACTTCCAAGTAATCATTGCAAACATTAACAATGGACTTCAAATACAAAATGGATACCGTCTATGAGGCACTTACATGATGAAATAAAACAGTGTGTGCTGTATGATAAAGGACTCCTCAGTGCAGCAATGCAGGTCCCCACAACCAGCCAGAACAGAAACCCCAAGGCTTAGATAGTAGTTCAAGGGTTCAGGGCAACATCAGACATCATCATCATAGTTTTCAGCTAATAAGGTATGGTAATAGGGAACACCACAGGCCTACAAAAGACCAAAACACAGACATTCCCTTCACTTTGAAGGAAGTGGATTGTGTTTACCATCTCTACAACACTCCCAATGTAAAATCGCATATATTTTCTTTAATTGATGTAATTTAACTACTTGCCTACTAAACACTTATACCCCCTTCCTGCCCAGACCTATTTTCAGCTTTCAGCACTGTCATCCTTTGACTGACAATTACTCAGTCATGCAACACTGTACCCATATGAAATTATTTGTCCTTTTTTTTCATACAAATAGAGCTTTCTTTTGGTGGCATGCAATCAGCACTGGGTTTTTTATTTTTTGCTCTATAAATTAAAAAATTACCAAAAAAATAAAACAAACCCCACATTTTTCTTTGTTTCTGTTGTAAACTTTTGCAAATAAGTAATTTTTATTCATAAAATTTTGGCCAAAATTTATACTGCTATATTTCTTTGGTAAAAATAACTTAACCACTTCCCGACCGGCCGTTGCATATAAACGGCCGGACGGTGGCAGTACAGGGTCGGGTGGCCGTTTATGAACGGCCTCCCCGCACCCTGCTTGTGCGCGCTCCCTGGGAGCGCGCAGCACCGCGATCCAGTGCCCGCTGTGTCCTCCGGACACAGTGAAACACTGATCGTTGGACGGGACCTCTGTACGAGGTCCCGATCATGTGATCACTGATTGGCCAATCAGTGATCACATGCAAAGTAGTAAGCAAGATGTCACTTGTGACATCATTGCTTACTACGTGTGAAATCTGTGAATGTTCACAGAGGTCACATGGTACAAGGCTATTCACAACAGCCTTGTACCATGTGACAAGCTGTGACCAATCACAGCTCACTCAGTACTTCTCAATGAGTGCAGGAATGCACACAGAGAGAAAGAGAAATGATTGCTTTTACATCCTATATGGGTGTAAAAGCAATCATTGTAAAAAAAAAATCTTCATCACCCCCCACAAGTAGTACAGTGTCACAATGGTGACACTGTACTGCTAGGGTGACAGTATGTAAAAAAAAATAAATAAATAAAATAATATAAAAAAATAAAATGAAAATGTAAAAAAAAATGTTTAAAAAATTATAATTTTTGGTTATAAACTAATTTGTTGGTTTTTTTTCTTTACTAAAAAGATAAAGGAATACATTTTGGCAAAGATTTATGATGAAATATTATTTATTTGCAAAATTTTATAAAAAAAAACACTTTTGTTCAAAGTTTTTGGACTTTTTCATTTACATAGCAAAAAAAAAAATAAAAATCCCAGCAGTGAATAAATACCACCAAAATAAAGCTTTATCTGTCTCAAAAAAATGGTAAAAAACTAATTTTGGTACAGTGTTGCATGACTGCGCAATTGCCATTCAAAGTGTGATAGCGCTGAAAGCTGAAAATTGCCCTGGTCAGGAAGGGGGTAAAAGTGTCCGGTCTGGAATGGTTAAATCTGTGTATATTATTTGGTCTTTGTGAAAGTAATAGAGTCTACAAGCTATGGTACCAGTCATTGAAAACTGATCACACCTGATGTACCGATGTCCTATCTCATTTCTTGTGACACTAACAAGCCATGACAGTACAAATACCCCCCAAATGACCCCTTTTTGGAAAGTAGACAGTCCAAGGTATTTAGTCAGAGGCATAGTGAGTTTTTTGAAGTTGTAATTTTTTTCCCACAATTCTATTGAAAATGAAGATATGTTTTTTTTTTTTTTTTTTCATCCAAATTGTTATTTTAAACGGTTATTTCTCCCACACGGCATATGCATATTTGCAATGAACCCCAAAAACACATTCTCCTACTCCTTCCTGAGTATCCGGATACCACATGTGCGAGACCTTTTCACATCCTAGCCATATAGAGAGGCCCAACATGTAAGGAGCACCGTCAGGTGACCTAGGGGTATAAGTTACACATTTAATTTTTGGACTACCTATTACCCTTTTGAAGCACCTGGAGCGCCAGGACAATGGAATTACCCACAAAATGACTCCATTTTGAGAAGCAAACACCCCAACGTATATTCTGTGAGGCATATTGAGTTTTTTGAACATGTCATTTTTTTCCACCAAATAAATTTGGAAAATGTGGAAAGAAAATGAAAATGTATTTTCTTTACACAGTGTTGTCCATTTATAAGATATTTCCAACACATAGCACGTACATACCAAAAATTGCACCCCAAAATACATTCTTCTGCGCCTTCTGAATGTGGGGATACCACATGTGTGAGACTTTTCCACAGCCCCAACATCCAAGTAGAACCTTTAGGCCTTCTAGGGGCAAAAATTACACATCTAATTTCTTGACAACCTATCATGTTATTGAAGCCCCTGGAGCACCAGGACAGTAGAAACACCTACAAAATGACCCCATTTTGGAAAGAGAACACTCCAATATATTTTTTGTGAGGCATACTGAGTCTTTTTAACATGTCTTTTTTTCTACAAGTGTTAAAAAAAAATGTGGAAAGAAAATGAAAACGTTTTTTTTTGTCCATCTATAAGATATTTCTCACTCATGTCATGTCATGTCATACCAAAAATTACACCCCAAAATACAGTTACCTCTCCTGATTATGGCGATAGCACATGTGTGGCACTTTTCCACAGCCTGGCCACATAGAGAGCCCCCAACATCCAAGAAGCATACCAAAATATGGTTAAGGCAGCAGGCAGGAACATGGTTCATAAAATGTCCTGGGTTAGTACAGGCAGCAGGCATAGATATGGTCAACACAGCCAAAGTTTTTGTCCAGGCAGCAAGCAGGAACATGGCCCATAAAAGGTGCTGGCTCAGTACAGGCAGTAGGCAGAGATATGGTCAGCACAGCAAAAAACATTGGTCCAGGCAGCAGGCAGGAACATCAGGTTTATGACCTTGGTCAGGTAGGACCAGAGCACAGGGGTGCAGGCTTCGTCCCACTCAATCTCATCGAAGCCTCCGGACAAACAGACCCTGTTCTGGGAATTACAAAATTCGGAGAAAACCAAAAACTGTTTTTCTCTACTCAGAACTCTACTCTGAAGCCCCTCACA